TCTCTGTAAAAAATTTATACTCTGAAGGCAATAGCAAAAGGAAATCTATAAATCTTGGATCCATGTCTCTATCTGCCCATCTGCCTATTTTATTTATCTATGGAGAAAGTGGAAAGATTTTGGGTGAGGGCAAGACTAAAATCCATAGGTCAAGATGCAAGATGGAAATTGAAGAGAAGGTTGATATTACAGGTTTAATCCAAAGATCAGAAACTCAGGAAGTCTGGAAACAGAATTTTTCTTCAGCAAATATCAATATTTGCTTTTTTTAGAAAAATTTTATGCCTGTTTACAAACACATAGTTTACCAAAGTATTGAAAACTCTCCCTAGAAATTTCAGGAAAATCTTTAAACTTAGGAGACAAAACATTTAAGAATAAAATCAGCAATATTTTAAATACACAACAGAGAAACCCGCCAGTTTCACCAGTTCATTGAATTTATTATTTTCTTCTTCAGAGTTCTGGAATGGGGGGGGGGTTATCTCATTGTTCTTTGTGAGAAACCTGTATTTATAAACATTTGTTGAGAGTCTTATAATTATAAATGCTTTCAGAGAAGAACCAGAACTGTAGAATAACAAGGCGGAAAATCATCCAATTGAAATTTGGAAAATAATTTAGTAACAGAAAAGGAACCATAATTATTTCTGATGTACAGAGCATTTCAAAAAGCACAGCAGTGTTTTACAAACTAGCACATCATCTCAGCCGGTGATGGATAAGAGCAATTTTAAAGGTACTCTCAAGGCCCCAGACCCCTGCTTTCTTGAACAATTGCAACTTACAATATCCCAAAAGGAACATCAGATGTCTATTAATGCTGTATAATCTCTAGAATATTTACACCAGTAGCATTCCTATATAAATGTAACTTAAAGTTTATAACCTTGCACCTTGGCAATACTTTCCACATAAAATGAGCCCAATTAGCTATAAACTGTACAGATGTGTGCTATATTCTTTGAGGATTTCCAGGAACACAGCTGGAAATCAAAGTCAAAGACTTAATTTAGAACTTTGATTGTGAGAAAACCTGTGAAAAATATCGAATTTTTAAAACCATCTGGTCAAAATAGAAAGCCTGATCATTATGGAATAATAACATTTACTCAATCAAAGTGACTTAACCAGCTACAGACCAGGTTTACTTACATTTATACAATAATCAAATATATATACTTTAAAAAGATATTCAAAATCTCAAACTCTTTAAAGATTCAGTTTTCTAAACATTCAAAACCAAAAACGATAGCCAAGAGTAATTGAGATTATCTTAACAAAACATAAAATTCCTTTCCCTCATTTAATTACCAAAAAGTAAAGAAAACTCTCCTGTACGGTGTTTGTCTAATAGGATGCTCATCCAGATAACTTGGAAGATGAACCTTATGGAAAAGTACCCAAACTTAATTAGACATTGAAAGTGTGTATGTCCAAAATTACAAGTATGCATCATTGTAAAAACAACAAGAAAACTTTGAAGGGCAGAATACCACTTAGGGACAAAAGCAGAAGAAATTGTCTGATTACTTGGAATCATTTAAATACATCAAGAAAAGTCAGGTGTAAAGAATCAGGTTATCCTATCATTCTATGCTCCTAAGATAAACATTTTTTAATATCAGGCCATAACAGTCAGAACCAAGGAGGAGAAAATAGCTTACAAACAATGCCTAGAATTTTGAGGGAAGGTGTCAATTAAATGGAAACTAAAAGAAGCTGTAGTTCACAAGAAGGTTGAAAATGTTAAGAAATTGATTTTAAAATAAAAGATCAAAACTTCTTGCAAATATTTACTATTAATATCTGTATATTTTTTAAAAAGCCTTATTGCTTTAACAGACAGGACCAAAGCCTGGTTTTATCTGTTTGAAAGTCATAGGTGCAGAAAGAGGGAAAGAAGAAGGCATGTAATACCCTGGTTTACATCCAACAGCCAGGGCTGGGCCAGGCCAAAGCTAGGATCCTGGAAACGCCATCCAGGTCTCCGACATGGGTGGCAGGGGCACCAGCATTTGCACCATCTTCTGCTTCTGCTGCTTTCGCAGCTGTTTAACCAAGGAGCTGGAACATGACTCAAAAGCAGAGTAGCTGTAACCTGAATAGACACTCATGGGAGAAGCCAGCATGGCAAGCAGCAACTTTTAAACTGCTGCATCACAATGCCAGCTCCACCTTCTAAATTCTTATTCCATACGTTGATTTAGAGCTATTTCTTAAACTCAGTAACTTTTTTTTTAAATATTTATTTATTTATTTGAAAGTCAGGGCCGGCGCTGTGGCGCACTAGGTTAATCCTCTGCCTGCGGTAACAGCATCCCATATGGGCTCTGGTTCTAGTTCCAGTTGCTTCTCTTCCAATCCAGCTCTCTGCTGTGGCCTGGGAAGGCAGTGCAGGATGGCCCAAGTGCTTGGGCCCTGCACCCGCATGGGAGACCAGGAGGAAGCACCTGGCTCCTGGCTTCGGATCAGTGCAGCTCCGGCTGTGCAGCTAATTGGGGAGTGAACCAACGGAAGGAAGACCTTTCTCTCTGTCTCTCCCTCTCACTGTCTGTAACTCTTCCTATCAAATAAATAAACAAAATCTTAAAAAAAAAAAAGGGTTACACAGAGAGAGGAGAGGCAGAGAGAGAGAGAGAGAGAGAGGTCTTCCATCCAATGGTTCACTCCCCAGTTGGCCACAACAGCTGAAGCTGCACTGATCCAGAGCCAGGAGCCAGGCGCTTCTTTCGGGTCTCCCACATGGGTGCAGGGGCCCAGGGACTTGGGCCATCGTCTGCCTTCCCAGGTCATAGCAGAGAGCTGGATAGGAAGTGGAGCAGCCGGGACTAGAACTGCACCCATATGGGATGCCAGGGCTTCAGGCCAGGGCGTTAACCCGCTGCATCACTGAGCCATCCCCAAACCCAGTAACTTAATATCAAGTGAAAACATAGCAAGAGTGCATTGAGATTTAATGCTATAACAAGTACTCAAACAATATATTTCACTTTGTGTTTCTATGGGGGTGCAAACTGTTGAAATCTTTACTTAATGCATACTAAACTGATCCTCTGTAAAAAAAAAAAATAAAAAAAAAAGAAATTATCAATTCCCAACTTGACTCTCACTGGGATTAAACATGACAATAGGTCTGATCTGACTTCATCATCATTTAAAAAAAATCATCTATTATTTTTCACTTTATGTTTCTGTGTGGGAGCAAACTGTTGAAATCCTTACTTAATGTATACTAAGCTGATCTTCTGTATATTAAGATAATCGAAAATGAATCTTGATGTGAATGGAAGGGGAGAGGGAGTGGGAAAGGGGAGGGTTGTGGGTGGGAGGGACGTTATGGGGGGGAAGCCATTGTAATCCATAAGTCGTACTTTGGAAATTTATATTCATTAAATAAAAGTTAAAAAAAAAACAGAAAACATAGCAAGCAATTTTGAACCAACTTACCGTTTAACAATTAAATTACCTAAGACACTAAAATATTAGATAAACACAGTAATTATCTTAAGTTACGATCTTGCCGAGAACAACTCTAGAAGCTAAATTAGACTTTATAGGAACCCTTGAACATCGCATCACACTTTTACCCAAATTATTTGCTTTTAGGTCAATATTATGCACTTATGATTGCAAATATCTAACACAAATAAGTATGACTTCTGTTCGACCAGCAAACTGAAGCATGAACATGTCAAAGACTCTGAAAGCATCTTTATTTCTTTTTACCAACAAATTTAAAACAACCTGTCAGAGAATTATATAAGTCGCATGAACCAAAAATGTATTTTGGATTAACTTAACAGTTTTAATTTATATGAGTGCTCTTTTATAAGTTAATTAAAGCAGAGTTCTTAACAAATTCTTCCACATGGACACAACATGCAGCATGTACACACATATAACACATATATTAATATACATCACAAGACTGTGAGTCAAAGCCAGGAGCCAGGAGCTTCTTCCAAGTCTCCCACTGGGGGCAGGGGCCTAAGCACCTTTGCCATCTTCCACTGCTTTCCCAGGCCACAGCAGAGAGCTAGATCAGAAGAGCAGCAGGGACAGGAACCAGCACCCATGTGGGATGCTGGTGCCACAGGCAGAGGGTTAGCCTCCTACACCGCGTAACAGCTTTTCAAAATATGTAACTGCTTTAAGAAATTACCATCAATTGATTAGAGTTGCTTCTTGCTCTTAGTAACCTGAATTAACTATGCTTTTTCTCAATTGGATCCTAAAGGAAAAAAAGAACTTTACTTGAGCATTTAGTTTAGAAAATAATTCTAGTCCCAGTAAAGAAGTAGGACATTTTCACATGTAAAGAAAATTGTATCTTTATTTCAGACTCAGTTGGCACACGAACAGAGAAATAGTTCTGTTGCATTATGCTTTTGATTTTTTGTTCCTCACTGTCATTTGCATCAGGGGTATCCGGGGTAATTCACTACCAGTTTTAAGAGAGCAGAGTCATCCCTGGGCCTCTGCGCTACCACCCAGTTGAGGTTGTGCTGTGGCTCCCGCATCTTCTAGATTAGGAGGGACTTTTTTTTTTTTTTTTTTTAACAGGCAGAGTGGACAGTGAGAGAGAGAGACAGAGAGAAAGGTCTTCCTTTGCCGTTGGTTCACCCTCCAATGGCCGCCGCGGCCAGTGCTGCGGCCAGCGCACCGCGCTGATCCGATGGCAGGAGCCAGGAGCCAGGTGCTTTTCCTGGTCTCCCATGGGGTGCAGGGCCCAAGCACCTGGGCCATCCTCCACTGCACTCCCTGGCCACAGCAGAGGGCTGGCCTGGAAGAGGGGCAACCGGGACAGAATCCGGCGCCCCGACCGGGACTAGAACCCGGTGTGCCGGCGCCGCTAGGCGGAGGATTAGCCTAGTGAGCCACGGCGCCGTCTAGGAGGGACTTCTAACGTGTCAATTGCCGCAGACACAGCAGTTAAGTTTTAAGGTACTTACCAAATCTCTGACAAACCTCTCCAACTGCAGAACAGCATAACAGGGATCCATTGAACAGCAACCTTTCTTGAAAATTTGACAGACACATAGGTCATGCAGTATTAAATAGAACAGTCTTTCCTTCTTAGTCAGAGCTCTTAATTGTAAGCTGCCCAGACAGCCAAGATGAAAGCTTTTGGATTGGAGCTCCTGGACAGAACTAAAATTGAACCGCTCTTATTTCACCAAAGAGAAAGACATTCTCATACAAATGAGCACTCTCCAAAACCAAACCCAAATTCTCGTAGTGGAGGAACTGAGGCAAAATCTTAGAATCTTCTCTCCCACCAACCGGTACCTGCCAAACAAATGACGTAAGCTATGTCCACCTGGCACGAACTCCAAACGGCAGAGATAAAGGATTCCCGGTTGGACTTAGCCAGTCTTAGAGCCGGTCAGCTCCTCAAAAGAACCGTTTCATATCCACACAGCGTTTATAGGCAGCGGACCCCGCAGCAAGGAGAGAAGGGAGAATCCCCGTGGAGCAAGTGCTCCGGGCAGCTGCTGGGCTGTCCCTAACCCTGGATTCCCGGTTGCAGGGTCAGCTCACCATAAGCAGCTCTGGGATGGGATGCAAGTGACCATTGCCCTTCTCTACTAATGTGAGAGGATTGGGCCACCTGAAAAACACATCCCAAGTCCCCTTTGTGGTTACCAATTTTCCTACTGGACAAATAATCAAGCTCTTGCTGCTAGCTGCTTCGATAGCCAATTCACCAGAGAAAAGTGTTGGTAAGAGGAACGAGTTTATTTCAAGAAGCTGGCATTTGGGGAAAGAGAGCTCTCTTGATCCAAGATACTCTCTTTAGTATTTGCTTGTAAGTTTTTCAACTGATTGAGGGGGGGCCTACCCACATTATGGAGGACAATTTGCTTAACGCAATTCATTGTAAATTGTCATTGACACATCCATACATAGGACTTTCATAATAACAGCTTTTTTCCTGAGGTAATAAAGCCTTCCTAATTCTATATTATGGAAGGGGAGTTTTCCATTCCCAACCCATTAGAACATCAAACCATTATTATTGCCTCCTATTTTTTCCCATTTTATTTGAAAGGCGGGGCAGAGAGGGAAGGAAGGAAAAAAGAAAAAGAGAGAGAGGAAGAAAGAGAGCAAGATTGTCTATCCTCTGGTTCATTCCTCCAAATGTCTGCAAATGCCAGGGCTGGGCCAGACTGAAGCCAGGAGCCTGGAACTCAGTCTGGGTCTCCCATGTGTGTGGCAGGGATACAAGGACTCCAACTGTCATCTAGAGCTTCTCGGGGCACGTTAGCGGAAAGCAGGATTGGAGGTGGAGCAGCCAGGACTCCAGCCAATCCAATATGAGTCGTGGGTATTCCAGGAAGCAACTTAACCATTGAGCTACATGCCTAACCCTACTGTTGTTTCTTCATCTCTCTAGCCCTGACTCCTTTAATTTACCAGCCTCACAAATACAATTTTAAAATGAGAGAGCTTCGACAATCATGCACCTTTCCTTCTCAACTGTTGCCTACTTGAATTCAACATTCTATTTTCCAATATTTGCAGCCAGGCCTTGAATCTTGTCATATCCAATGCCCCTCATGCCAGTGATTCAATGTGCCCACCTGGTTTGAATCTTGTATTGGCCGTTTAGTATCTCAGCCAGGCATTTAATTCTTCCATTGAATATGAATCCTGTATTGACCACTTAGTAGCTCAATGGCTTTCTGAGACTCAATTTTCATTCTCACCTTGCCAGATTTTTTAATGATGTGTTCTATATACAAAACTGTGCACAATGTCTGGCACCTATTTGCTGTTTGAAAAGTGCTAACCTCTTACTATCTACTTATGATGCTCTAAATCTGTTTGTGCGATTCAATCTGCCTCTAGCCCCATATTATCTTTCCTTGATGAAATTGAAAAATATAATTTTTTACAATTGTTAGGATCATGATAATGGAGGGTGACAGAAGTTAAACATTTTTTTCACTCCCTTGTGAAAGCTACCAACCTAGTCCTGATCGATAATTACAGGCTCTGAAACGGTTGGCAATCAAACTCTACCACTTGGAGGTATAGCAGCAGGCTGCTGTGTGTGGGTGAGGGTCAACTTGAAAGAAAAATGAAATAATGAGGAATCCAAAAATGAACTATGAAAAAGTGTTGAGCGAAAGTGGAATGAAGCTTTCTTCAGGGCAATTTCTTATACTTTTCAAGTTTTATTCACTAGAAATGTAATATTTGGAGGGAGAGTGTATTTCATGCACTATTCTCCCAAGTACAACCTGAAATGAAGAATAATCACAATTTTTCAGGGAGACAGGATATTCTGTGAAATGGTACAGTTTATAGTCCATGACATTTTCCATCATGTGATTAGGGTATTAAGTGGTATTAAGTCACTTAACTCATTAACAGTTTTCACAACCATAGCATCCACAAATAGCTTTAATTACTAACAAGGTATATGGGAGATCATTCAGTGTTAAAGTAATGCATACTTTGGTGTATATGAATATCCATGCAGAGCTTCATATTATAGGTATTGAAAAATCTAATAACATTCAAATTTTATAATACTGTACACAATTTTAGGGATATTGATATTAGTAATGACGATGATAAAAAGCCACTGCTATCTTGTCTGGGCACTTATGAAACTTTTTACCTCTGTCTCTCCAAGCACATGCCACCTATCTGTAGTTAATATATTTATGTGCCTGTCTCTTTCACTACATCATGAGTTCCTTGATGGCAGACCCTTTGTCATTCATCTTATCTTGGTGCCTGGCATCGACCTGACACATAGTGGATATTCACCATACATTTGATAGATTAAATTTTGTTTAATGGAGAAGGAAAGAAATCCATCATATCATGCTGTTAGTGTTTACCAGGCCCAAAGCACCATACTAAATTTTATTTTCAGCTAAAGCAATTTGGACATAGGCCCTATCCTCATGTTCTTGGGGTAGAATATTTAGAGAGTTTGAGTGTTTACTGCCACATGACACAGAGCTGCCAATTCTTTGTGGCCTGTGTGTTTAAGGGTTATTTCCCAATAGGCATGTTCCTGGAGGCTCACCCATGATTTTGAGCCTAGGACAGCTGACTGTAACCTAGTCATCAGCCAGCTATGGTATCCAGATTGCATCTAAAATACATATCAGCTTGTGTACAGTCTCCTGAGAATCTGTTTCTAGTCATTCTTTTATGGACCAAATGTCCACTATGCTAAAGAATTTAGTTACTCAAATTTGATGCTCCAGAAGAAAAAAAAGAGAGGTTGTTAATTTGTGTACCATTGCCACACTTTAATTGCTTAACAGTGAAAAAGTGAAGTTAAAAACTATACTGTGCCTGAAAATATTTATAAAATCATGTCCCTTAAATATTAAAAAAGGGTGTTAGATAGTACAGAAAACTATCAAATCTCTTAGTCATTTTTGCCATTCTTTTTTAAAAAATCACAAGCAAATCAATTAAATGACAGATTGCTAGGATTTTAAAAGGACATATGCTTGAATTTTATATGATTTCTGAACTATCAGCCATCAAAAATCGTTTTAAAATATCATGAGCTATAAAAAAAATAATTGATTTTACCCAAATACAAGGGCCAAATAATGGGCCAGGATAAAATATTCATGAATTGTGGTCATTTTACAGCAAATATACATAGTTGGTAACATTTCCACCAGTGACAACTCAACTGATGGCCTCTATGTTAATCAATAAAAACAATTTGAAGTTCTGTTAAGACTTTATGGTAGTATTATTACATTCAAAATTTTAATAATTGAGGCACATGTTATGGTACAATTGGTTTAGCTGCTACTTGGGATGCCACATCCCATTTCAGGATACCAGGGTTCAAGTCCCACCTCTGCTTCCAATCGAGCTTCTTGATCATCCATACCCTGGGAGGCAACAGGGATGGCTCAAGGAGTTTGGTCCCTGCCACCCGTGTGGGAGACCTCCAAGGAATTTCTGGATCCAGGCTTCAGCCTGGCTCAGTCCCAGCTGTTGTGAGACTTGGGATGTAAATCAGCATTTGAAGACACACACACTGGGCCATATCCACCTCTCTATATGTCTCTCTTTCTCCATCCCTCGATCCCTTTGCCTTTCAAATAAATAAAAAAAAATCAACAAAACTTAGAAGCTAAATAAAATCATCAAAAATAAATTATTGTAAAGTTCAGGATATTATGTGGCTTTACACCATATATTATTATTTCCAGTTTGGAAGTTAACAACAACATGGTAAACACAAGCTCCAAGTCTGCCACAATATTAACTCTCAGGGAAAAAATCACATGCAAAATCAAATTAATTTTTTATCATAATGTTAAAATCAGTATTTCTGATACTTACAGACTTCAGTGTTTAAAATAAAATTTACCAGGAGTAGAGTTAATAAATCCACAGTGATAGGAAAGATGGTGAATGACTTGTGGAAGTCAATGTGTTGTCTTGAGTCATTGTGATTAAAAATATTATTGTTTAAATACAAACTCACCTCTAACTATATGCTTGTCTTATTCAACCCACTCCCTCTCAAGTTTAGACTGTAAGCTCTGAGAGGCAAGAATTGTGTAACTCTGCACCGCCCCTCAACGCACACACACACACTCCAGATCGCCAAGGCTATTTTGTTGTGTCTTCAGGGCTATTTACTGAACCGAACTGTGGGCAGAACAAGGCTTTTATAATTTCCGCAAGGAAAGACCTGTAGCCACAAATCAACACCTTCAGTTTCATCCACATACTGAGACTGAACTGCATCCATTATGTTGTTAGTGTAGTTGACAGACAATCATGACGCAGAGACAGTGCTTAAAAGCATTTGCGGAATGTGTGAAGGAAAAGTGATTCTGTTGTCCATCAACATACTAGTTCTCACTGATTCAGTCATTTATTCTTCTGTATTTACTGATCGTTTCTGTATTTACTGTAGTGTAGCAGGGTTTGTGTTTTCTGAAACAGATCTTCAATGTGAGAGAACTGCTTTTCAGTAATTAGTGAATCACTCACTTTATCCGCATAAAACCAAGGTCACAGAAAAAGTGAAACATTTTCTCATGTTCCTATATTGGAAGATAATAGTGTTAAAAATGACTAATACCCAGAACTATCTGCAAATTCAATTTGATGACTATAAAACTCACCATGAGAGATGAACATTGTAGTTCAGTGGATTAAGCTACAACCTGGGATGCTTGCAGACCAGATTGGAATGCCTGGTTCAGGTCCTGGCTACTCTACTTCCAACCCACATTCCTGCTAATATACCTGGGAGGCAGCGGGAGACGGCTGAAGTATTGGGTTCTGGCCATTCACATGGGAAACCCAGATGGAATTCATTGCTGCTGGCTTTGGACTGGCCCAACTCTGGTTTTTCTGAGCACTTGAGAGTAAACTGGAAGGTGGAAGATCTTTGTCTCTCTGTCTCTCCTCTCTCTGTCACTCTTTCAAATAAGTAGAGAAATCTTTTAAAAGTTTTTTTTAAGAAGAAATATCTGTTCTAAAATTCAAGTTCAAGGAATCCCAGATAATCAAAACAATCTTTAGAGATAATAAAATTGAAAGTCTCACATATTCAAATCAAAACTTATAACAAGGCCACAGTAATCAAAATAGTCTCATACCAGAATATACACATACAAATCAATAGAAAAGAATAAAGAAGCCTAGAAATAAAGCCTAGAAATAAATCTTAAATAAAAATATTATTTTTCAAATATGAGAGAATTTAAAAAATGATTTTAAATAATTTTAAAAATTATATATATTCACTTTTAAGATATAACAATTTTAACACTTTTCCATTATTCACTTCACATGTAACTATTATACATATACACATACATACTATTTTTCTTGGAAACAGGTATATTAATGTCACATAACATGAAGCTACTAAGATCATTTAATGGAAAAAAAACTGTTTTTTTCCACCCAACAGATGAGATGGTAGGAAAACTGCATATCCACAGAACAAAGGAAAAAGTTATGTCATTACCTTCCACCACATGCAAAAAAATTAACTCACAATGGATTAAAAACCTAAGTAAAGTTTATAGGAGCTGAAACTCTTAGAATAAAACATAAGGGGAATGCTTTGTAGCTTGGTGTTTGGCAATGATTTTCTATATGACACCAAAGGCATAGGCAACCAGAAGAAAAATGTATAAATTAGACCTCAGACAATTTTTCCAAATAATTCTACATCAGGATGCTGGTACCTTTCAAGCACTGGTTTGAGTTTCAGATTCTCTGCTTCCAGTCCAGGTCCCTGATAATGCACCTGAGAAAGTAGCAGATGATGGTACAAGTATGTGGGTCCCTGCCACTCACATGGGAGACCTGAATGGAATTTCTGGCTCCTGGCTTCTGCCTGGCCCACCCCTAGCTATTGTGGCTACTGGGGAGTTGAATCAACAGATTGAAGATCTTTCTCTCTCTCTCTTTCAATTAAATACATAAATAAGTAAATAAATAGATATTTTTAAAAAAGAATTGTGAATCAAAAGGTATTATTAACACTGTGAAAAGGTGATCCACAGAATGAAGAAAAATATATGTAAATAATATGAGATTAACATTCAGAATACATGAAGAACTGCAACTGACAACAAAGCAATTAAAATGAAAAACAGCTTAAACGTAAAATTTCATGAAGAAAATATACAGTTGACCAATGAGCACATGAAAAAATGTTCAACATCACTAGTCTTTAGGGAAATACAAATTAAAAACACAATGAGATACCATTTCACACCCATTATGATGGCTGTTTTTTTTTTTTTTTAATGCAAAACATCAAGTACTGGGGGGATGTGGAGAAATTTGAGCTCTTGAGTGTTGTTGGGAATGTACAATGTTGCAGCATTGTTGAAAAATATTATGATAGTTTCTCAAAAAAATTAAACAGAATTATTGTAAGATCAAGAAATCTCAATACTGGGTATGTACCTAAAATAATTGAAAGAAGGAAACCGAACAGACATTTGCAAACCCATATTCACAGTAGCATTTTTCATTATATTCAAACTGTGGAGAGAAACTAAATGTATATTAACAGATGAATGGATAGTAAAATGTGGTCTATAGATACAATGGGACATTATTCAACCTTAAAAAGGAATGAGATTCTCACACATGCTACAACATGTCTGAACCATGAAGATACCGGACCAATTGAAAAAAGCTAGACCCAAGAGGGAAGATATTGCATGATTTCACTGACATGAAGTACCGAAAGTAGTTGAATTCAGAGCCAGAATGGTGGTTTCCAGGGGCGCCAGGCAGGATAGGTAAAGCGATTCAGTTTGAAAATGAGAGACACTCTTAGATGGGTGATGGTGATGCGTACACAACAGTGTGAATGCTCTTCATTCCACAGAAGTGTACACATAAAATGAACAAAATAGTGAATTCTGTACTGTGAGTATTTTACCACAATAAACAAATGAACAAACAAATTATCAGTAGTCTAGGGGATGAAATAAAGGTTTTAAAGCACATGGAATTTCTCAGAATAAAAGATTTCCATAATAGTAAGTAGAAAGGCAACTTGTTGTTCAGGCTAATTTTTTATCAGTGGAGGAGGCATAATCATTTCGCAGGTTTTGCTTAAAACACCAGGGTTCCCAATTTATACTAAAAAATTCTGATGTTCATAGTATCATACTAATGGCAAAAAGAGAAATAAGGGAATTTATTGTCTTCTGGCTTATTATTAATTTCCTTCTATTTAGTTTCCTTCCAATTTTGAGAGCTCTTATATATTCCCAAGAGAAAGACTTTTGAAGTTAGGGATTTATATCTGTATCCATCTTGTGTATTAAGGAAAGCAATCAAAGCTGTTGCTATCTGAAGGTAAGTCCTGCATAGAATCTAGAACACAGTTGGAAGTCTTTGGGTATCACCAATTTCAACCAAATTCAAACTATAATACCATGGCAGATTTCTGTGGTCTGATTTTCTAACTGATTTACTTTATAGATGGCTTAATGAATCAAAATAGAATGCTGTGTGATATATTTTATGAAATTGGCCTTGTAATACCTTCATGATGTTATCTACTTCTGCAAAAGTGAAAGCACAACCTTAAAAAGGTCAGTCTATTTGTTCAAATAATGTTACCAATTTAGCATTGAACTAGAAGGCCAGAAAAGAGCTTGGATTGAAAGGAGGGTAGGAATGGCCTTTTCCTAAGGAGAGCACTTGGGACTCCATTCCAATTACTAAACCACCATTACTCTGTAGGCCAATGCAAGTTGGTCTTACTTCAACTTGCAATATTACTTTACAACAAAAGTTGCCACTTTGGGAAGAATAAGTTACAGGATATGAAAATTAAATTTGTTTTCATTATCTTTGGCTTATATTTCTATTAAATGTTACATAATTTTATATGAATATGTATTTATTTTGCTCTTTATTTTTTTCTTTGTTACTCCTAGATTTTTTTAAACTAAATTATGTGATAAGTAAGAAAGGATCAAAGAAACCCATATTTTGCAACATAAAGCTAGCACCCTGTGCTTTGATGAGCCCAAGCAAAACTGGAACTTCTTGGTTATGAATATTTCTTGAAGCAGGTTGAACATTTCTGAAAAAACTCAAACAACTGAACTTCCTGAGATTAACCAGGATTTGTGAGGTAATTTGAAAGCATAGGATCTACCCATCACGAAGATATAGCTTTTATTTAACAGCATTTCTATCTGAGCATATAGGAAATTAAGTATGTACCAGATTTTATTATTTCTATTGACCTAGTCTTGCTCTTTAAGTTGTTACCAAGTTTCATAGTTATTTTTGGAATAGTAGTCATTTCCCAGTTACAGATTTATAATAGGGAGAGAACTAATACAATAGTATGGAAAACTCTACCCCTAAAATAAAAATTAAGTAAGGCAAGGCTATTTCCCATTTTCCAAGGTCCATGGCAGAATCTTAGTGGAACCAAAGAAAGCCTAGAAAGTTTTTCAGAAATATAATTATCTTATTTTTCTAAATGTTAAAAATCAGAGCTATGGCATTCAATACTTTGTATTCTCTGGTTATCACATGTTTGTAAAATGCCAAATTTCAGCTCTTGTTTTTCAGAGCAGATTTTTAAACAGTGCCTGTGTTAACTTTAGCTATCATGGTGCTTCTGAGACAGCAGGGTTAATTTTATCATGATGACAATAATAGCTGGAGCTTCCAGAAACCACCTTCCACATTAATTCCTTATCTCTTACTTCAGTTAGCATTTTGATTTTCTCGTAATAAATCCAGATCTGATTGAGATAGAGTCAGCACACATTGCCAACTCCACCCAACAGAACAGATTAGGACTATAAATTACATGCAATAAACTGCTTGCAGACATCTTTTGTTTAGATATTTGCTCTGTTGTAATTACAGAGGAGCATACATTCTGGCTTCTTGACGCTGTGGGAAAATCACTTGTGCGTTTGAGAGGTACTGTCACTCCGGATTAATATTCACTTACTAGTGGAGGATTTTTTTTCAGATTTTAATAAATTGTTCAACTCTTCATTAGAGAATTTCATTAGTTTGATGAAGTGAGACAGAACGTGTGAACCTTAGGGTCCATGCTTTGTGTTAGTAAACAGCAAGTGAACAGGAAGCAGGAGTTCCAGGCTGTTTCCTAGTATGATGAACTTCTTGGATAAAATTGAAGTTATAAAATTGAAGCTATTGCTAATATGAGATCTAACCATTCTACCACAGTTAGAACAATTCTGTTCTAAAACATTATAAAATTAAACATATATTATTATAAAAAATTATATCTTTTTGGTAAAGAATTTTTATTTGTACATGAAGAATAAATTTTTTCTAAGGCTATTTTATTTTAGATTCTTTTGATTAAGCTATTTTTTATTCCTTGTTTCACACCTTTGTGTCAAATCTATAACTTCATATATTTGTGTATTGTGTGTATGTGAGTTTTTGACTCTGAATGCTAGGATTAATGGAGAAATGTTTCCTCCAATTTAAGGATACTATCATAGTCAACTTTTAACACAAAACTTAAATTCATATCTGTATATTTTTTATAAAAAGTTAGCTCAATCAAATGGAAAATAAGAATAAACAGTTTCCCATATAAATTTAACAGGATATATATTTGATAATGTAACAAACTCAATAAATATTTTATATTATTATTATTATTATTACTTATAACATGAGTTCTTAATCTTTCACTTCAAATGTTACTCAGCTTTGATTTTCTTCCAAACTTGGAAACTTCACTGTTACCCATTAGATTTGTTTCTAGACATTGTCTGTGAGAAGCACAGAGTTGTCACCAAGCAAAATAAAACACTCTTCTTGTATGGAGTTGCAATGTATCACAATCTCAGTCTTACAGACAAGAAAAGTATGTCTTGGGACAGAGGCACAGCCATGGCATAGCTTGGATCTTTGCTGGCTAAGTCTGGAATTTTCACACCGTACTCTATTCTAGAGGATCCAGAATTCTGTGGTACTTTATAATATGTCTACTTGGGAAATCAAAGTAAAATTAAAAAAAAAATTATTTTCCAAGTAAATTCATTAGAAAATGCAGGCCACCATCTGTACTCACTTTACTTCATGGAAGCAAATCAATTTAATGCCAAAAACATGGGACGTGTAAAATCTCCAAGAAATTGGTAGCTCTTGAGCTAAATAAATTTTATTCTACAAAAAAACCCTCCCTTTTTTCTTATTCTTTCTTTTTTTTTTCCAAGATTTTATTTATTTATTTGAGAGGTAGAATTACAGGCAGTGAGAGGGAGAGACAGAGAGAAAGGTCTTCCTTCCGTTGGTTCACTTCCCAAATGGCCGCAATGGCCGGAGGTACGCAGATCTGAAGCCAGGAGCCAGAAGCTTCTTCCAGGTCTCCCATGCGGATGCAGGGACGCAGGGACACAAGGACTTGGGCCATCTTCTACTGCTTTCCCAGGCCACAGCAGAGAGCTGGATTGGAAGAGGAGCAGCCGGGAATTGAACCAGCGCCCATATGGGATGCCGGTGCTGCAGGAGGAAGATTAACCTACTGTGCCGTGGCACCGGCCCCTTCTTATTCTTTCAACTTTCCTGGGGACAGTACCTCTGCTTTGTCCTCTTGTCCTCAGTTTTGAGCTCTAGTCTCACCTCTGAGGTTTGGTTTAGTTTTAGGAATATATTATTTGAAACCAAGCTGTCTTAAGGTGGAATCTTTGTTCTTTCACTCAGTAGCTAAATGACCAAGTGATTTTTGGGTTCCAAAAAAAGAGGAATAATGAAATCTAGTTCTTAGTTATATTTTAAATATCTAGAACTTTGTCATGAATAAATAAGGCCAAGAAAATTTTACAACATTGCGTAGCTGAGAGTACTTAAAAAAGTTTATGAGATGAAATTAAAATAAATTTATTTTGGTGCAAATGTTTTCAATCCATGCATAATTTTTATAAATATGTGCTTTCCACAAACTTGTTGAATACCAATAATATTTGTAAAGAGTATAAAAAGAATAAGAGAATTATAAAATGACCTGAATGCCAATAGTGGAAAGACATCTGTATGTATTATGGTACACTGAAACAATGAAGAATTATACAGTTATTCACAACAATGAACAAGATCCGTATATATTGACCTAGAGAGATGTCAATAATTACTCTTCCATTCAAAAATCAAGTTGTGAAGTAATGTATATAATATAATCTCATTTTGTAAGAAGCACTAAAGCAAAACTGTGGGCACTCACTCATGTTTGGAGTAATAGTATGAGCACAGAGAAAATTAGAGAAAGATATGTTCACGCACTTTACCAACTTTGGATATTGACTCAATTCGGCATTCTTAGCAGTATGTTTTCTGATAGCACTATTGCAACTTGTTCACCTGCCCATGCCCCTCTCCTAGCCTTTTTAAGCCTTCTCCTCTCCATTTTCCTCTAAACCTCTCATCATCTCTAAGATGCTACTTATTTTACCTTGGTTTTAAAATTTTAATTGACACTTGATAACTATCCACATTTATGGGATATAATGTGATAATTCTAAGTATGTACACATTATGGAATGATCAAATCAGGGTAATGAATCATCCCCCTCCCTACCCCACTAAAACATAAGCTTCATGAAAGTAGGTGTTTTTGTCTGTTTTAGCCACTGCTGTGTCAACAACAGGGCCTGGTAAACAGTGAACAGTCATTCAATATTTGAATCCATAAGTAACACAACTGTCAAGGTCATTGATTTTGGAAGGAGATTTGTGTGCCTGTATGGGAGTGGGATAAGAATTTCATTCCATTACTTTATATGTGTTTGCCTTACATGAGATGCACAAATTGCTTTCAAATAAGAACATAGTATAGCGATATGTTAAAAAGCAAAATGCCTAGGATATTTTCAGACATTAATTGATCCTCAATAAATGATTGCTCCTTTCCTCCCCTGCAAACCCCTCCTCATTCCCTGACTCTGTAACACATGTGCTTTTCCCTCTGTGCTCTGCAAAGTATTTTCCATGTTTTTTAAACTTAGCGTGCAATTGAAATGACCTTTTTAGCTTCCTCAAGGTTGTTCACATTTAATTGTATAATAAATTTGTTTTCTTTTCCTCTGGCAAGGGAAGTAGAAAGCAAGAATGAAATTGATCTTTGGAGTGGTCTAGGGATAAATCTGGATTACATGGTAGCAAAATGATGAGAGAGGAAGACAGGGAGGCAATAGGAGAAGGCAGAGAAAATGGTGGCTGTGGCCTGGAGAAAGCAGGTACCAGAGCTGGACCTAGACTAGCCGAGGAGAAGGATCTGGACACTCAAGATGGCTCACTGCTAGGGAAATAGAAGCTAATGTGGAGAAATGAAGAGAATAATAGGTTCCCGGTGCTAATTATGACTTCTTGGTTATCACAGAGTGCTGACCTTTTAGGTCTAAAAACTTCGGTGATATCACCTGATTCATTGCCCTAAATTTCCAAAGGAGGGAATTGAGACCTCAGAGGCTCAGCCTCCTAAATCTTGCACAGACATTTCAAGGAGGGGATACACTTGTGGGGAGTGTGGCCCACTCTCCTTTAGTCCCAGAGTAACAGATATGTTGCTTTCAGAAGCGGAGTAATGTACAATTCCTAGCCTCCAGGCTGCTAAGGAAGTAACCCCTCCTGTGGAGCAACTAGTATTTGAATGAATGAGACTGCCAGTGACATCCAGGTGGCATCTGAGAAACCCTTCCCAGGCACGAGAACTGAAGCATGATCGCAGAGCCAAAAGGTGCTGGGACATGTGAACCGAGAGATCTCACTGGATCCCACAGGACCACATATCAGAATTCAGCATTTGCAGACTTGAACCTCAAGTCAAACGGGCTCTTAGCTTAGCATGAAAGGGACATTCACAACTTCTTATTCCCTGATCGACTGAAGATTGTCTTGCGACTGAATGCCACTGCCAGCTGGTGTTGCTTCCCCACATAAACTTTTGGAAGTGTATGTGCTTCATTTAAGCCTACATGTGTTTCTTTGTAGGCCACATGAATGTCAGGCTGCAGAGGACAGGTAGCTTAAAAATTATGCTCTCTAAACCTTCACCAGCAGGTTGGAAAGGAAACGAATGTCAAGATCTGCTGTATAGGCTAATAAATTTGATTAGCAGAGAATGCTCGTGGG